CAAAAGCTGATGAAGCATTGAAAGCCAAGGAAAAAAATGAAGAAGAAGCAAAGAGAAGAAAGGAGGAAGGTAAAGGCATCTGTTCATTTTGTTTCAAAGCACTCATTACAGTGTGGGGTCACTGTTTGGCACGATTCTCTTCATTCCCTGAATAAACCATAGAATCTAATCAAATTAGGGGGTACCTCATGCTATTTCCTGAACCTAAACTATGAAACAATTATCACATTATATTCAATGTCTTGTACACTAATTAATGTTTGCTAACATAAACATTAGTTTATAAGCACCCTAGTGTATATTCTGGGGAAACTAGGAAGATACAAAATTATAAAGTATAGCTGCTATTGGTTTGTTTCCTTCTGACATTTATATTTATAGTTAACAAATTATTAAAGTCAATTAAATATTTTTTAATAATATTGAAGCCACCACCCAAAGATATTATGGAAAGAAACCTAACACATTTTTATCTCCCCTAAAAATTTGTATTTCCCTTTTTGTTTGCTGTGGTTTATGTGAGTGAAAATTTTGTGTTTTTTCCTTCACAGAAGCTTTATACATGCTGTTCTAAATTACAGTGCTTAAACCAAGATCCAGGCAAATCTTTCTCAGGCAGTTAAGTTGATGATTCACTTGTACTGGCAATCATGTCACTTTGCTGGCTAATTAGCAGAGTAACTATTTCCTCTGTGAGCTTTCAAGAAGTTGAAGCCTGATAATGTGTTCCAAATACTGACTTTGAGTGCTATACCAAATCTGAAAATTGAAATTATTGCCATAGTACATATCTTTTACTATGACAGCCAGAAAAAAAATTTCTTTTTCTTATTCCCAACTTCCAGTTTTGACCTGAGATCCACTATAACCTAAAATGTTTGAGTATGATTGGTTACAACCATTATAAGCAGTATTCTGTGAGAGCCATGCCCCCAGAGCAAATTAAAAAGAGAAAGAGAAAAAAAAACCCTGTGGCGATTTCAGTGAAGAACCCTATAAATGAGTATATTCAAACTAAATGTGAACTAATTTATAGATAAAAATGTATAGTGTTCTTACCTTATTTGACCCCCATAAGTCCTTACTTTATGGTAAATGTAGAAAACAAGTGAATTCCAAAGGCAAAAATCCTAAGTAGAAGTCTCTTCTTTTGGCTTTCTGAGTGCACATTTTGGCATTGTGAGTGGAAGCAAGTATCTGATTTCAGTTATGCTTATGGTCACCCATAGTACAAATAGATACAATACCAGATGCAAAATAATCTAAGAAAATTATAACATTTGAGTGCTCCCATGTTATGTGGTATTCTGACCAATGTAACTAATTAATAACATAATAGCCCTTATAAAAAGAACTGTGGTATTGTAAATTACAAGTGTGGTACTTATTACCAACCGACACAATGAATATATCTTGCAGTAGTTATTAGTCTAATCCCATTAATTCAAATCTTAATTGGAGTCCTAATCAGTTGAAAAAGGATGGCACTGAAATAACTACAGATATTAAAATTTCTATGTGCTTTATTATTTTGAAAAGTATATGATATGAATGCATGCACTAGTGAAAGAAACTGTATGAACACTTCAGAATCCCTCATTTACATGGTGACAATTGATATTTCTAATAGTCTCTTTTTTATTTAATTGGTTCTAAATACCTTTAAAATGATATTTTGTTAAGAAGTTAAGTAACTGTCAATACTTTAATGTTATATTGTAATTCTTTTGAAAGTATTCTTTCATTTATACTTTCACTAAGTCATACTGACCTTGTACTTAGTCTGTGATTTACAGTAACCTTTTGTATTTCAATACCTGTGAGTTGTTGGAAAAGCACATCCCTCCAATCACAGCTGTTTTAATTAGCATGTTTATAAGGCTGTCATCCTACCTAGGATTACATAGGTTTAGTATCCACAATGCCTAGCATATAGTAGATACTTAGTTTCTTGATTATTGCATGAATGAATGACCAGTTTACCCTTCATTCCTTCAAACCCATGCTTAAGTAAATTGTCTTACCTTGCAGTTGATTCCAAATAACCTAATTGAGAGTGTAACCCTTTTCTAAGACAGGACCTCACCAATTACTCTATTTCTCAAAACAAGTACAGCCATTGAAAAACCAAGGAATTGCAAAGTAACTACAACATTTGCTAGTATGGATTTATCAAGTCTTTACCTGAGCTCAGAATCTTTTGTGCATCCAAAAAAAGAAAAAAGAAAGAAAGAAAAGAGAATTGTTACCACAAATGTTTAAGGAAAATTCTGCTGGTAAAATAATCTAATGACACAAATATTAAAAGATAAAACATGTGTTTTATTTAATAGTTTTCATTGTAGGAAAACATAAAAATAAAACACTAGCTATATTTGTTGTTGTTTGCTTCTAAAATTTTTTTCTTATGGGTTGCCTGGAGACTTGAATGCTATTAAATTAACCTTTCTGAAAATGATTAATATACAAGCTATATTTATTTTGCTTTATGTAATTAATCTAGCTGCAATTGAAACGTGAGGTACATCTGTATGTGTATTTTCTTCTGCATCTGAAAAAATAATAATCTTTTATTCCCAATCTAGAAGCCACTAGTAATTAACTCTATCAGATCATTAATACAGTTCATCTCTTAATTTCTCAGCACGCTGATATGCAGCAGAGAGTTGAAAGCACTGTTAAAATGTAGATAGATGTTATCTGCTCAGCGCCCTTTATCCACTCTGTTATCTCAGTAGAGCTGCTGTGTTAGCATAGCAAGATCTGGGCCTTGCAAATACGTTCTATTATGCAGTCCTTTCCTTTGAGTGTTCTTAAACCAATATCATAATTATTTTTGCAAGTATTGTATCCAGGCAAAAGTCAGGTTACTCACCAAAACTTGTCCAGGGTAACTACTTTGCCTTCTACCTTTTAAACAGTGGGTCCCCATTCAGTGCTCTTCATGGCCTTTACACAGCTAAGTAGCTTGTAGCTTGAGTATCACTAGTGCAGTAGTGCGGGCCCTTTTTCTCCAACTGTTTAGTCTCTAACTCTTTCCACTTCAGTTGTATTATGTAAAGGCCACGTTATTTAAAAGTCAACTGAATATTTTAAGTGTACAGCTTTCTTCTTTAAAACTAAACATTTTCTAATTCTAGATTATATTTTAGGAAAAATGAATAGCATTAAATCTATCTATTCTGCATTCTTTCCTGTTCTTTGACCTACTAAATGGTTGACTTCTACTTGCACTTTTTCTCTATATGTATTGGAAAATGTTTAGACTGTATAGAATTAACAGTCATTTCCATTTTTGTCCTTTTGATTTATTTTTATATCATTGAATGCTTGAACATAACTGCTTAGGTTTTCTGATTTTATTTTTTATATTTAATATTTTATGCATTTAAGGGTTCTATTTATGTTTTAAATCCAGTTATGAGGATAACAGTCTTTCTTTGCATTTTGACTTCTAATATGAATTTCTTATTTGTGGCGTAAGTATAGTAGCTTTTTAATTCTTTCTCCCCTTGTGTTTATTCAAAATAGCTCTACCCATCTGTTAGTTTTCTACTTCAAATATTTTTGTTTCCAAAAGTGTTAGGCAACCAATTGTAAATTATTCATGGACATGGTGGACAGTGATAATATGAACATAATATGAGGTGGTACAAGTCTCATTTATTTAAGTTAAAATTCATCAGACCTTTTGCCACATCTGATTGACAGGAGGTAAAATAAAGTAGCCTTAATTTTATCTTTTTTGTTGTTGTTAATCTTTTGGGGAAGGTGAGGGTAGAAGTACTAGGAGCTGAAAGAAGAAACAGGTGCCAAGCAATGTTCTAAGTACTTCACATATTTTAACTCTCTTAATCCTCATGAGCTCTCCGAGGTTTGTGCTGTTGTTATCTCTGTACTGTAGGGAGGGTAGGAAACTAAGGCACGGAGTGCTTGATAACTTGCTGTATGACTAGTAGGTGAAGCCAGTACCCAAACCAGGCAGTATGACTCCAGTATGCACTCTCCCTCTCTAAACAGTCTACACGGGTCACAACCCTTACAATCAGGGTTCAAATAGATATGATTCAGTTCAGTCTTCCTCTCTCCTTTGCCTTCTTCTCTGGATCTTGCCCTCTAGCTCTAAAGCATTTGTTTACCTTATTTTTCACGGCCTCAGATCTGTACACGTATTAGGCTGCACCACTTGGGTTTCTGAGACACCCAACAGGTGAGGTACCCCCATCAGGAGCACATTTTTCAAAGTGTCCATGTCCTTTTTTCACAATCCCTATCTTTTTTTTCTCCCTAGTGACTGGTTTGTCTATGTAAGATATCCTCTTGTCAAATCCACACCAGCCTTCAGAGCCTGGACCAGAGCCAGCCCTAAGTATCTGGTTTCTTAGGTCCCTTTCTCCAAGGCCCTGGCTCTCCTAGTGCTTACGAACGCACACTTGGCACCAAGTCTTAGCTACACTCAGGGGAGAACTGTTACAGTCCCTTTGCTTCCTCCCTTTAGTTCCCTGCCTGAGACCGGAGAAGAAGGTGAATGTTTGGGGTTCTGAAGTATCCCTTATTGCTCCTGCAGACCCTTTATCAAGAAAGCTGGTGTGCAGTTGGTAGGTGCAGAGTTGTCGTTCTGCAGTCACTGTTTGTTCAGTTGGCAAGTTGACATAAGTAGGTCAGACAGAAGTAAGATTGTCCTTTTATGTCTTGTCCTGAAGTGGCTGCCCATTGCAATACTGTTTCCTTGTTAGGTTTAAATATTTGAAAATTTACCTCGCTTCCCTCTTTGTCATATTGTATCAGGTAGTTCTGTTCCAAGACGTAAAATATCCCTTAAGGAAATTTGTGTTCCCGTGTATGAGATTTAACAGTCCTACATCTTTCATAATGTGGTATTTTAAAAAATACCTGAATAGTGTTTTAACACTAACTTTAATGTTGGAGAGCTGTTTCCTTTAAGTAAATTGATCTGCTTACTTTGAATCCATTGCTGTAGTCCATATTTTTTCCTCAAGTTCTTATTCAGCCAAACATCACTCAGCAGCAGTTATTTAGCTTAGCCATCTGTCTTATTTCCCTCAGCA